AATAGACTCACGATCCCACGATCCCACAATTCATTAATTTAAATATTTTCAATTAAATTTTTATTAATTGATTTTTATCTATAAAATATTTAAATTTTTTATGTTTTTAATATTGAATCCTAATCATTTAATTTTTTTTCATTAAGTGACAAGGAACGTATCTTTTGATTATCAAGGAACATATCCTTTGATTGTTACAGGTAATCACATGAAAGTTATCAAGAAGCACGGTGATCACCTTAGTTAATAAATTTTCAATTAAAATAATAAAAATCAATTATCACTTTATATTATCCATAATATATTTTATATTAATCATATATTCTCAAGGAAATTAACATCAGATATTTAATAGAAAAACATAAAAATTTGAAGATTCAACAATTCAAAAATATTGATATAAAATCACATGGAAATAACAAAATTTATGAGAGACTTGAAATTTAATTAAGTCTCAGATTTTTCTTCTAATTTTTATGTATTATTGTTAAATTTTAATTGTTTTTTTTTAACATTTTAAAAAAAGTTAATTTTGTTAATTTTATTTTTATTTTCTCCTGTTAAAAAAATATTTTGTGAAATGATAGTATAAATAAATTTCTTAATTGTAAAAGTGTTTAAGTTGAAAAGAGTAAAAGTGAGTGATTATTACAAATGCAACTCACTTAAACACGAAGCTCACTCATTTTTTATTTCAAAATTTAATCAGGTTATTTGAGAGATAAAGAAGAAATTAGCTGTTTTAAATTGAGTTTTACGCTTTTTCATACTCTTGGATTAGAAAACAAGAGTATCAAACTGCATTTTAGTTTCTTTATTTATGTTAATTTCTTTATTTACGTATAATATAACCGTTGGATCAACTTAAGAAATAGATGATTTGAGTCTATAAATCTAAAGGAACTAATCACATGGTCGACCGTTCGGACTAAATTGGAATTAACGATGATTATTGTTATTATGGGCTTATAGGCTATCGATCGGTCTCGACCAGCTTCACATCCCGTTCGGTCTCGACAACTATTGAGCAGAGTTAACGCACAAAGATAGATTCAACTCATACTACAGTACGTCCTATTTACGTCCTATTAGGACTTCAATATTTAACTGTAACAAACAGTTCATAAAACCGCTCCTAACTTGAGCGTCGGAGTGCCTTTTGCAGGTACCTCCCCTCTTTTACAACTGAGCAATCAAGATTGAAGTTCACCGAGCGGGCAATATTGAAGGTGACCGATCGGTCCAAACTGGAAGCAGACAAGCGAAGCGCACAAGTCGAAGGTTAGTGTCTCGGTCTCAATCTCTACTGAAACATTTTGGCGCCCACCGTGGGGCCGAGAGCAAGCTGAAGACACCCAATGGTGACCACAAGAAATATGGAGGAGCAGAGCACCAGAGATTTAATAAGAGAGTTACAAGCCCAGATTGAGGCACAGGCGCAGACTATACAAGCGGAGGAGCATGCGCAGCAAGAGATGCGGCAGAGGCATGAGGAGGAGATGAGGGCGCTAAGGGCCGAACGGAACCTCCTGAGCGGTCCGCCTCAAATCGAGAGAATGCTAATGAGGCAAGCCATAATCACGCCAACCCGAACGGTCATGCTAGAAGGGAACCAACACCCCTGTAGACCGCTCGGCCTACCAGTTTATTGCCCTTCACGGCGACCATCATGCAAACCCCAATGCCAGAAAAGACTCCCCCCGTATTGGATAAGTATGATGGTTCGGCTGATCCGGATAATCACTTAAGGACGTTCGGTAATGCAATGGCATTCTATACAAACAGCGACCCGATCATGTGAAGATACTTCACATTATCACTTAAGGAAGAGGCATTGGAATGATATAACACTCTCCCTCCCAACACAGTGGATTGCTTCGCTAATGTGGAAAACCTCTTTAGGAGACAATACGCATCCAATCGGAAACAGGAGGTAACACCGACAAATTTGGTAAATACTAAGCAGGAGAAAGGAGAAACCTCCAAAACTCTATTAATGTCATAGTTAAATTTAGTTTCATTTGATTTAGACTTTTGTTATTATCCTACGCTTTCATTATGGAATAAATAAGGCCAGGTAATTGATGTCCAATCAATCGTTCCTAAACGTTGCTAAAGAAGTGCATATCCAGCGAAAAAAGTCTCTCGAAGAGTCTGAAGAAAAAGACCGAGCGGTAAATCCCGCTCGGCCGAAAGGTAAATCCCTCTGTAAAGATTTGAAGACCGAGCGGGAAAACCCACTCATCCAAGAGGTAAATCCCTCTATAAAGATTTGAAGACCGAGCGGTAAATCCCACTCGGTGAAGAGGTAAATCCCACTCGGTGAAGAGGTAAATTCCTCTATAAAGATTGAAGACCTAACGATCTTATTTGATTGGCCGATCGGTCTTATAACAACCTATTCTGACATTAATGCATTGGTTTGTTTGGCTACTCTCTTTCTCACCATATCAAATTTCGAGTTGTTATATTTCTTCAGTACAGGTAACAGGATACTGCAAATCACAACAGAGAGGTAAATCCCTCTCGTCAAAGTAGAAAACAAAGACCGAGCGGTAAATCCCACTCGGCCGAGAGGTAAAACCCTCGTCAAGGTCGAAGCGAAAAACCGAGCGATAAATCCCACTCGGCCAAGAGGTAAAACCCTCTCGTCAAAGTTGAAGCCAAAGATCGGGAAGAAAATCCCTCTCAACCGAACGGTTCTCACTCTCATCAATCAGGAAGCTCTGATAACAAGGACTGTCAAGCATGCGGCCAAATTCAATACATGGAACTGTTCGGCACAAATAGGATATAACGACTTGAAGCACACGGAGAGCAAACTCCTTAATACAACGAGAACAACCTCCCTCAAACTCATAAGTCCTATAGTTAACCGTTTGGCTAAAGCCGAACAATTAACTAAGACTTGGGGGGCTTATGTTACTATGGGCTCATAGGCTACCGATCGGTCTCGACCAGCTTCACATCCGTTCGGTCTCGATAACTATTGAGAAGAGTTAACGCACAATGAATGTGATAACGGCTACCGTTAAACAATTAAGGTTTGCATTAATGACCATTAAGAGGTAAATTAATTTAGATTCCTTTAAACACTATAAATAAGGGTTTAGGTTTGAGGTAAAGACAGATTCAACTCATACTACAGTACGCCCTATTTACGTCCTATTAAGACTTCAATAGTTAACTGTAACAAACAGTTCATAAAACCGCTCCTAACTTGAGCGTCGGAGTGCCTTTTGTAGGTACCTCCCCTCATTTACAACTGAGCGGTCAAGATTGAAGTTCACCGAGCGGGCAATATTGAAGGTGACCGATCGGTCCAAACTGGAAGCAGACAAGCGAAGCGCACAAGTCGAAGGTTAGTGTCTTGGTCTCAATCCCTACTGAAACAATTATATTAAACCTAAATCAAATTATTATCAATTAGTTTGTAATTAGATTAACATATTTCAAAATCTATAAACATATGTTTGTGATACTGTGATAGTTGTATATTTATTGCTAGCATAATCGAACACTTGTGAACTCTAGTAATAGAAATGCCTTCTGGCAAGTAATTCAAACGAACGTAATAAGTGTGAAATGAAAGAAAAAACACTGATGAAAGGAGAAGACTTGATCTCCACTTCCACAAATCGAAACAATTTAAATTAATTACTTATTATAATTAGGTTGAGTAACTTAAACCTCGGTTTTTTAACTACTGAAGTATTCTTTTCATCCTGGGGTTAGAACGGTGTTGAAAATGAACTCTAAACGGATTTTATGCATATAAACTTTCTTTTTTCCATATTTTATTTATGCAATTTTGAAATTTATGAATATTCATAGTGGTTTTTATTAATATAAGACCTGTAAAATCTTTGTTTAAAGACCAAAAATAAAATTACTCATAAATTTTGGAGACTAAAAACATTTTGTTTTATTGATGGAAATAAGAAACAAAAAAAAGATAATCTCTTTTAGTTAATGAAAATAAAATAAAAAGTATTTCCCAAAAGAATTCTAAAGAAATTAAAATTACTGAAGAACCAAGAGATCACTTTAGTCTGCTCTATATGCCAATTCCAGGCAAAATATATACCATTTTTAGTGAATCCCACACTTTTTTTTTCATCTTCCTATTCAACAAATAAATGGTATTTCAATACTTTTTCCTTATTATTATATATATTTATTAGGTAATAATTTTTCTTTTATTCCATGGCAATTTAACGAAAAAGTATCATAAAATTTATTTCTCTTCTCACCAAAAAAAAATATGATAGAAATTTGATATTCAAATTCATTTTGTTAAAAACAAAGAGTAACACATAAAAACTCTAGAAAAGAAGGATTTGAATATATTTTAAAATTTTTTGTAAAACCGTGTTTAATTTCCTTTGCGGATTAGACGGAATCAATAGTTAAATACTTGAGTTTATAAAACCTTTAAAAAGTTAAAACAATAAAATACATATTCCTTCCAAACTGAATTCCGTTTAGCTCTTCCTTAAATATTTATAAGAGATTCCACTAATCATAACTAATTACAATAAATTTAACCACTCATGATTCACAACTAACCCACTGGAATCATAAATAAACAAAAAAGAATTTAATGAAAGTAGAAATCTACACAAAAGAAGAAAACACAAACAACACAACCGCCAAAGAAACACTATAACATACATGTTTTAAAACATTAGACGATCTAAAACATTTATGCATAACACGTGTACTATTGTTTAGAAACTCTCTGTTTGAGTAACTTACATTGTTCTAAACCGTTTAGCAACTATCTTAGATGGTTAACCTTGTGTTATATGCTCTCTAGATTAGACGGTCGGTTAAAGTTTCTTATAACATTTAGTATAGTTAAGTTGTAGTGTCTAATGCTTCTTATCCTAGATGTTTCAAAACGTTTTAACATTATTTCGTTTAAACATCATGTTAAACTTCAAAATAGAATTTACTTAAACGATCTTATCTAAACAAATAAAACTTGCATTACACGCTTAAATTTTATTATATTTGTCATGAAGTCACAACAGAGACGCAATAGCTTAGAAAATCATGTTAGTCTGCTTGTCTCTGCAATCAATTGATGAGTATCATACGTACAGATAAAGATGTTAACTTATCAGGAGAAAGAAAAGCCTTCACTTTCTGAACTCCAGCTACAACGTTAAACTCTCCTACCATCCTGCAAACCTATCTCTTGCAAGAAATGTTCTGCATCCAACGCTGCCATACACCCTGCATCAATAATAACATTTCCGTTATCCTTTCGCATAGTATAACTTTTGCTGGATTATATCTGATTCTGATTGTGTTATGCGCCATACTGTAATTGTGACACTTTTTACGTTCTATGACCAACAAACAGTCAAAACCATAAACAGTGCAATCACTTTTATGACACTTCTAGTTCAAAAAAATCAAATATAAAGGTGAAATACGTTCCCTTCAGTTTTTTTCTATCAGAATAGATCAATGACTAATCCCAAACTGAGTTCAGAACCAAATATAAGTCAACGACTACTCAAATTTAAGCTTCAGTTGCTTTGTCCAAATAGTAAGCGTACTCTTTCTGTAACTTATTTTAATTCTGTATTCTGTCTTACATCAAGTACTAACTCCCAATTCAGAAATGGAAGAAAATAAAACTGAAGAATTTATTTACAATCAATACGACTTAAAGTTCTAGCAGAACATTGTTGATAGAAATACTACTATTATCATATAGTCTATATAACTGAAGTGAAGGTGAGCATACTAAAGAATATAACAACACCTAAATTGTCAGGCCTCTCTATTGGATCTCTCTAATAAATTACAAAAGGTGGGAAAACGAGGATTACAAGAAGGTGGGAACACTGAATAATCAGAAAGTATGTCGAAAAATATTCAAAATGTGGTGATTCTACCAAATGCCATTTCCAAATAAAATTAGAAAATGTTGAGAACATGGAGAAAACGTGAAATCCATGACAGTTTCAAAACCAAGAAAATATAACCCTAATAATAACATAACCTGTTCATACTCTAATTTGCTTGAAAAGGATGTTTAATGGAACTGATAGAGAACATGGCCACCAAATTCAAAAAAGCCAGTTTCAAAACAAGGAATCTGACAACACATTAATCCATATCTATCACAGAACAAAACAATCTAATATATTTGAAAATACACAAGAATTACCTGTTCCAGCTGCAGTAATAGCTTGCCTATACTTTTTATCCTGCACATCACCAGCAGCAAAAACCCCATCAACACTAGTCTTTGTGGTGCCAGGTTTGGTCACAATGTACCCATCAGAGTCTAATTCAAGTTGACCATCCAAGAATTTCGTGGCAGGCTCATGCCCAATTGCAAAGAACAAACCAGAAACTTTCAAATCAGACACAACCCCAGTCACCACGTTCTTCACCTTAACCCCACCAAGAACCCTACCCTTATTATCCCCATAAGCCCCAACCACTATTGAATTCCATAACACCTCAACTTTGGGATTATTCATCAGCTTCCCCTGCATGATCTTAGAAGCCTTAAACTTGTCCCTTCTATGAATTACATACACCTTGGAACCAAACTTGGTGAGGAAGCTAGCTTCCTCCATAGCAGAATCTCCGCCACCGATAACCGCCAGAGGTCTGGCCCGGAATATCGGCGCGGCACCGTCACACACGGCGCACGCCGATATCCCACGGTTCCAGAACCCGTCGGGTCCGTCACCCGCGCCATCGAAATTCAGCCGCTTAGCGACTGCGCCTGTGGCGATGATGACGGATTCAGCTTCCACGGTGGTGGAGTCGGCGAAAACCCTAAGCGGCCGTTCGGAGAAGTCCACTGTCGTCACGGTCTCCGTGACGATCTCGGCGCCGAAGCGCTGCGACTGCTCGCGACAGCGGTCCATGAGCTCGGCGCCGAGGATGCCAGCCGGAAATCCCGGAAAGTTCTCAACGTCGGTGGTGGTGGTTAGCTGGCCGCCAGGAGCGACGCCGTTCGCCATCCATCCTTCGAAGAGGACCGGCTTCAGCTCCGCTCGAGCAGCGTAAATGGCGGCTGTGTGCGCCGCCGGCCCGCTTCCGATGATGCAAAGCTTCGTTTTCAGTATTTTCCGGGGGACGATTTCGCCATCGGAGGAGGAAGAAGTATCGCCGGCAATGGACGAAGAGGCGGAAGAGGCGGTAGATGAAGGAGAAGAAGAAGCAGAAGAAGAAGATGAAGTAAAAGAAGAAGAGGACGAAGAAGAAGAAGAAGAGACGTTGGAATTGGAGGCCGCGATTGTGGCTGCGGCAGCGGTGGAAGCGAGCCCAAAGCCTATGATGTTGCGGGCTTTGGTGAAGAACGTGTTTGGGAAAATACCCATTACTGTCCTTGATTGATTTTCGCGAATCGCGTTTTTCTCTTTTCCTTAGTGTAGAGAGGTCATTCCTGTATACAGATACGTTTCGTAATTTGAACAATGTGGCAACTCAAACAAATGCAAGAGCTCGGAAAGGGTAACAAACTACGTTTCTTTAGAAAATCTGTAACGATAACGAAAAGAATGTGTGTTGGTTTGGTTGTCCTTTGTTTGGCATTTCACGTATGGGAAGCCTTACTTGTTCTTTTTTTCTAGTTGGGTCTGTAAGCTATTCCGTTATTCCAAAAGAAGCACTGCTGGGGTGTTGCTACCTTCACCACCGTACTTTTCTTCCTTGACTTCTTTTTTACTATTTTGTTTCAGTAAAATTTTATTTTTAAGATTATTATTTTTTAATTTTACTCGTTCACAACCTATTTCATTAATAACCTATTATAGTCCCATGAGTAAAATATTTTTCTTTTTCATTTTAACCTTATATTTCTTCCTCTCTTTCTTTCGTTGTTGTGAGATATTATAAGTTGCAAAGGTTAGTGGTGGTGGAAAGAATTATCAAGCAGTCTCCCTCTCGTGGTACAGTGTCGTTCTCGTGGTGCAGTGCGTGGAGTGGTGCAGTGCGTGGAATGGTGCAGTGTGTGTCGTGCTTCTCGTATTCGAATAAACCTTGAAATAAAACCCTAAAATAAAAAACGTAAACGGAGGTGACATCCTTCCACGGATGTTGACATCCGTTGAAGGATGTCACCTCCGTTTAAAGGTTACGTTTTTTATTTTATAGTTTGTTTTATTTGGGGACATCCGTTGATGTATACTTCCTCATGCTGGTTGATGCTCTGGATGCTCCTCGATGTTCCTTCACACCACAGCGACGACGCTTCTTCACACCACGGCGGCAATGGAAGCTATCAAACCAAAAAAAACTGGAAAGAAAAAGGAATGGAAGTGCGGGAGGTGGGGAGGTGAAACGTAAATGGAAAGTAAAATTAGGGTTCAAATTATTTAAAATAGGGTAAAAGTAAAAATCTTTTTAACTTAAGGATATAATTATATTTAAAATAATGTGGGGAGGTGAAGAAGTATAGGGTGGTGGTGGAAGGAGCAACAGCCAGCAGTGCTTCCATGGTTTTCATTCTACACAAGCTCCATTGGGCCACAAAATATTTTGTTCTGAACAACTATTACTCTTTGTATCCATTACAAATTCTATTTGCACCACCTTGTTTTATTACGGCTCAACTCAGCACTTTCTGTTCCGTAGCTCATCCACCAAACATGAATGCATACAAATAAACAATTATTTTTTATTTGAATAAATAGTTAATACAACAAAGAGATACAATTCTAAATAGGTGAAAATATGGTTGTTAAATATAGTCAAGATAGCATCATCAAAATAAGTATGCATTTATATACACTAGTATTACGTTTCAACGTTGTGTACTATTAACACGGGAGATTGGGATTGCATATCAAAATCAGTGCTTAAAATCAGACTTTATTAATTTTTGTCCATGTTATGTAATTACAGAGGTTTAAAACCATTGTTTTGAAGCTGACATATGATGTTGGTCGTATAAATAGGTGAAGCCTGACACATGTTCCCTCCTCACAAACCAGTTGGCCACCCTTGTTTTCTGGTGGAGGAACTAACATTAAACCCACCTGCCTCGTCGCAAACCCCTCCTGTTCTCACCCACGCCTAAGTTAAATCTACAAAAATAATGGATTTTCTTTTAAGTTTAATAATATCTGTGCGAAATTTCATATTCATTAAAAATTAGATTAAGTTGTAATAAATAAACAACAACAAATTTTACTTTATTAATCTAGTTTAGAAATTAATGGATTTTTTTTATAAATGTAATAATGAAAGATCTCACGTTAACTAAATATTATATTAAATTATAGTAAATAAAAGTAAATTTTACCTTATTAACCTAGTTTACTAAAATTGAGCTAAACTTATTTTTTTCTATTTTAATATGATATTAGAATATATTATAATTCACTAGTTAAAACACATACTTAACTCATGTGCATGTGGATTTTTTTTATGATAATAAAAAATAATATTTATAAGTTTATTATAAATATGAATAATTTTTATAAATTTTTTGTAAATATTTTTTATTTATTTTATAGGTAATTTTATAATTAAAATGGTTAAATTTTAAAAAATAATAAAATTGAAAAAATAGTTAAATTAAAAAAAATAGTTACTTAAAGGATAAAATTGATAAAGTGATTACTCTTTAATTTGATTCTTTTATAGAATAAAATTGCATAACAAATGTGGATACCCAAAAATAAATCATTTACATGAAGGTATAAATATTTCAAGTTAGATTTAATTATTCATTTCATCATTGTATTTGTCCTACACCATTTATTGCTATAGATACTTAAAATCTTTTTATATAAAGGTATAAATATTTCAAGTAATTAATTATTTAAAATCTAATAAGGTTTATGATATCAGTTGGGCTTAGAACTTGTGTTAAAAGCCCAGTTTTCTTTTGCGGTTTAGCATTTGATCTTTTTTAACCAGAAAAATGTAAATCTTTTTGTTTCGGTTCATAGCTGATGTTAAAAATCCTCATCTTTTATCTCATCTTAATACATCTTTGTTCAGAAATCGTTGTCAATTATCAAAAATAATTGTTGTCTTATCTCTTTGTTAACTAGTGAGGTTGGTCTTCTAATTTTTTTCGTGTCAATTAGGTTTTGATTTGTAAAAAATGGTGTAATTTGATTATTTTCATTAGTACGATATAAACGATGTTATTTTTTTATAATTTTTGTCCTTTTCAAAAATTATCTCCTAGTTTCACTTTGGTATAAATTTTAAAGTTAGTTTAAAAATATTTTTAGAAATATTTAATAAAAATGTTAATTTTAGAAAAAAATCAACATAATATAAAAAAAGAATAATTTTTGTTCTAACTTGATGAGAAACAATATTACTCCATTTTAACCAAAATTAAAACTAAATTAAATAAGAAAACAAATATAAACACAAAATTGATATTTTATCAGGTCACATTACATTACAGTGTTAGTGTCACTCACATTTATAGGGTCACTGACAACTTTGAAATGACATGAAAAAAATTTCAAAAAATAAAATAAAATAAAAATCCAAAGAAAAAATCACAAATTGATGGTTTTAATATCGTTTATACAACACTAACGTAAAAGATCAAATTGTATCATTTTTTTTTCATAAATAAGGAACAAATTAACACACACAAAAACTGAAAAAACTAATTTAACATTTTAGGTCAAAAATAATAATTAAATAAATACTTAGACCTTAAGCTTATTATATTTTTCAGATATGTTGAGAAGTGTGTTAAAAATTTCAAATTTACTAAAAATAATATGAAACTCCCTCAGTAATACAACTTATCTCCCATTTGGTTATTAAAAATGCAAGATAATTAGATTTGTAGTCTTCCATGTTGAGACAAATATGACAGTCATTTCAAATTGATTGATGTGATAGATTTTAAAAATTAGTTTAATTGATATAAATTAAAGATTACCAAAATGTCCCTAGTTATAAAATGTTATTTATAAATGTTATATTTAATTGTAAAAATGTTTATAAAGAAAAAAAATTATGAATAATTTATAAAATTAATGTTTAAAAATTAAAAAAACTAAATAATCAATTTTTTTTAATAAATTAGAAAATATAATAATCAATTTATTAAAAAAAATTAGAAAATATAATAATCAATTTATTAAAAATAAATTAAAAAATATAATATATCTAATTTTATTAATATTAAAATAATTATAAAAAAAACTTGAAAAAAAAAAAGGAAATCGCATAACCGTTATGCGAACGCGTAACCGGTTACACGAACGCGTAACCGGTTACACGAACGCGTAACCTGTTACGTGAACTCGTAACCGGTTACGCGAACGCGTAACCAGTTACGCAAACGCGTAACCTGTTACGCAAACGCGTAACCTGTTACGCAAACGCGTAACCGGTTACGCGAACATGTAACCGGTTACGCGTTTCCAGCGTTTCTTAACCGAGGGCACACTCGACATTTCGCTCACAATCCGCGCAAATCTCTTCACAACCGCGGGTGACTGAACAGTACAACCATCCCGCGTTTCATTGCAAATCCGTCCGCGCATTTCACTCTAACCGAACGCATAACGAGCTGAATTCTTCGCTCGCAAATTCGCATGAACAGTAAATTCGGTTCATGCGAACACAGCCTAAGTTTTCTTAATGCAATTAATCGTTTTGGGATCTGAGATAAGAAATTAAGAACATTAAAATCCCCTTAATCAAGGTTAATATTGAAGTGTAGGTAAGTTTCGTAAGATTTAGATGATTTTTTAAAGAATAAATCAACTTATATCTAATTCTAACCTAGTTTTAGCGATCCATTATATTTTTCCTTTGTCGTGATATACTGTGACATCATGTCATGTCCCCAGCGCCAACACAGCATAGAGGGATGTATTGTTTTTAAGTTTTGTATTTTCTTTTACATTTATGTAATGATATTCAATATTAAAATATGAAAACCAGACTTACCGGTGTGGGGGAAACAAAAACTAGACAGTACATAATATATTTCCAATATTTATTTATATCGTAAAATATACGTTCTTTTTACAAAAACTGTAAAATGTGTTAAAATTAAAATGTTTAATTGATAGTTCACTGATTATTAAATTATATTGGATTTGTATCGTAAACTATTCAATGAGAAAATTAGATTAAAGAACTAATTAATTTTTTCTGTATGGTTGAAATCATATACAACATTCATGAAAAATGTTTTCTTTTTTCTAAACGGTCAAGTAAAATTAACTTCACAAAACCAGCCACTTATAATTATAATTTGGTAACGTGGACTTCCAACCGTATACATAGAATAATAACAATGAAACAATTTATAAATTCAAAGATATGATTATTCCCCTCTCCATCGTCAACAACACTTTCCCTTTAATTACTTTATGCTTAATTAGTCAAAAAATTAATGTCGTGTTAGGTAGTAATCCAAACTCAGGAATCTCCCCTGCAATTTGCCACCACAAAGAAGAAAATTCAACACGCTTGCATTCAACAAGGTTTCCAAATTAAACTACACATTAAACTTTCTGACATTTCTCAAACATTTGTACAGAGAATGATCCATTTCGGATGCAAAACTAGAGATGAAATATTCACAGGGAGTGCAATGGCTCTATTTTTCATGCAATCCTACAGAGATGCAAAAGAAAAAAAAATAAAC